ACCCACTGGTGCGCGGCTACACCACTGCTGCCTCCGTGCACGTCCTCATCTCCCAGCTCAAGAACGTCTTCGGGGTGTCCCTGGGCGAGCACTCGGGGCCGCTCTCACTGTTTGTGGTGAGGGGCTGCTCACCCTCAGGGCTCATAGAGCCCCCACACCTGCCATGGGGCTGTCCCAAACCCGTTCCCTCCTGTGTCCTCTACCACTGGTGCGCGGCTACACCACTGCTGCCTCCGTGCACGTCCTCATCTCCCAGCTCAAGAACGTCTTCGGGGTGTCCCTGGGCGAGCACTCGGGGCCGCTCTCACTGTTTGTGGTGAGGGGCTGCTCACCCTCAGGGCTCATAGAGCCCCCACACCTGCCATGGGGCTGTCCCAAACCCGTTCCCTCCTGTGTCCTCTAGACCTTCATTGAGATCTGTCGGAAACTGCCAGAGACCAATGTGGGCACCCTGGTGACCGCCATCATTGCCATGGTGGTCATCTACATCGTGAAAGAGCTCAACCACAAGTTTGCTGCTAAGCTGCCCATGCCCATCCCCATCGAGCTCATCACGGTACCGAGAGCTACCCAGCTCCTGTGGGGACGCAGCCATGGGTGGCCCTGTCCCCTCCGGGGTGAGATGGGGTGTGATGGGTCCCTCAGTGAGAGCAGCTCCAGGGCAACCATCCCCTCCTCCTCCACCCTGGTCCCTGCACAGGGCCCTGCCTCACTCCAGCCATCCTCCCCCGATAATCATCTCCACCGGCATCTCCTATGGCGTCAACCTGAACGCCAAGTTTGGTATCTCCGTGGTGGGCAACATTCCCAGCGGGTGAGGGGCCAGCACTGTGGGCACTGTGGGGGCTCCACATGCGCATGGCACCCCTGTTCAAGCCCCATCTCCCTGTCTTGGCCATAGGTTGAAGCCGCCCGTGGTCCCTAATGTCAGCTACTTTGGGCAGGTGGTGGGCAATGCCTTCGCCATCGCTGTGGTGGGCTATGCCATCTGCATCTCCCTGGGCAAGATCTTTGCCCTGAAGCATGGCTACAAAGTGGACAGCAACCAGGTGATGCTCCGGCGTGCAGGGCCCCTTCCCGCACAGACACCATGCCCGTACGTGCAGCATGGTGCACGGTGCTCCCCGCTGCTGCTCTGTCCCTGCAGGAGCTGATCGCGCTGGGCTTCAGCAACTTCCTGGGGGGCTTCTTCCAGTGTTTTGCCATCAGCTGCTCCATGTCACGGAGCCTGGTACAGGAGAGCACAGGAGGCAACAGCCAGGTGGGTCTGGGCAACTCCACCTCTCTTTGTGGGGCTGGATGGGGCAAGGAGCACAGTGAGTGGTGGGGACGTGCCCCTCGTCTCCTGCCCTCAATCCATGCAGGTAGCTGGTGTCATCGCGTCCCTGGTCATCCTGGTGACCATCCTGAAGATCGGAGAACTCTTCCGGGACCTGCCCAAGGTACATCTGTTCCCACAGTCTCTCCACCCCATGCCTGTCCCAGGGCAGGGGAACAGCCAAGGGTGTCCCCTAGACCTGCCCTCAGCATTGTCACAGCTGCAGGGACTTCTCTCCTAGGCCATCTTGTCTGCCATCATCATCATCAACCTCCATGGCATGTTCAAGCAGTTCAAAGACATCCGCATGCTCTGGAAGTCCAACCGGGTGGACCTGGTGAGGCACTGACCGGCACGGGAGCCCTGTCCCGGGGGACGGTCCCCACGGGTGCCGCTGCTGACGTGTGTCCCCTCAGACCGTCTGGATCGTGACATTTGTGGCCACGCTCATGCTGAACCTGGACATCGGGCTGGGGGCCTCAGTGGCCTTCGGGCTGCTCACTGTCATCTTCCGCACCCAGCTGTGAGTGCCAGGGCTGGGGCCGTGTCGCAGGGGCTGGAGGGGCCTGTGGTGACCGGCCCCTGCTCTGCTCCCACAGGCCCCACTACTCCATCCTGGGGCGCATCCCCGACACCAATGTCTACAGGGACGTGGCTCAATACCAGATGGTAACACACCGAGGAGGGAGAAGCACAGCTGCAGTGGGGGTGCAGCACCCCAGGGGCTGTTTGCTGGGGAAGGGAGCGGGGACATGTTGGACAGGGAGGGAAGGGGAGCAGAGGCTCCGTCCCTGGGGTGTCACCTCCCCAATCTCCCTCAGGCACAGGAGGTCCCTGGTGTGAAGATCTTCTGCTCCTCCTCCACCCTCTACTTTGCCAACGTAGAGCTGTATGCCGAGGCCCTAAAGAAGAAAGTAGGAATGAAAAGCTGCCACTCCCCTCCCGGTGTCCCCATGTCCCCTCTGCTAGTGCCGGGGTGGTGACAGGGAACATTGTTTTGTAGAGCGGCATCAACGTGGACCGCCTGATTGAGAAGAAGAAGAAGGCCCTCAAGAAGCTGAAGAAACAGCAGAAGAAAGCAGAGAAGGAGATGGCAAAGAGGAAAAAGGT